CAAGCTTCATTTTACTTATCACCTAAAAGGTTATAGGCACTAAAACCGAGACCAAGAAGATTCACGATTTGCTTAGAATAGGACAAACTTCACACATTGGAGAAGAATAATTTGAATAAATGTAAAACTTTCACTTTATGTTATCTTTTGTGAAGGCAGGAGAGAAAAAAACAGGAGAAAAAAAAGAATGAATAAACAGTTACATCTGATAGAATAACCTGCATTACTGTAGCCGTGCTACGGCGTGGGCTATCTTGTATTACCATTTTTACATTATTCTCTTAGCACCATTATAATGCATTAGCACTTCAGCAAACTCTGTCTCTTGAAATTCATCGCTGCCTCCGGCAAAACTGCACGGCAAAACTGCACGGCTTTTCTTCAGAGCAGTATTCTCTTTTTTAGCTTCAGAGTCATGTCTGAAACAGAGAACAACAAATTCTGCAGATGGAAGCATTGCTAGTCAGTATGCTGCAAAACACTGGATGAGTAATGATGGTTTATATGAGCAAGAGGAGAGTTTGCAAGTTGAAGAACATGAATCTCTGCACAGGTATCCACTGGAGAGAAAATAGCGGTCGGGTCACATGGAAACAGAGAGCGCTGTTAAATCCTTGACCGTTACTACATGAGGTGATGCTGATAGAAAGCTGTACTTTTTACAGCTTAAATTGCTTTTTTCTTTCCACAGAAAATGATCTATCAAATGAAGGTGCAACTAGTTGAAATTATATCTGATAAAAAAAAAACATATTTGTAAGAAAAGCAACTTACATTTATTCACCATCATTTTATGTCAGCTAATTTATATGTTAATTAAATCATATAAAAACACCCACAAGGTTGAATTGCCTCTTTTCTGATTTGAAATTAAAGTATGCGTCTTTGTATTTATTCCCCACAGCTCAGTAAGAATGGATCTCTTAACACAATTTACAAAAAAAAAAAGACTCACATAGATTCTCTTTAGAAAGCTGATTCTATAGGACAAAATAAATCCCTTCCCAAAGAACAACCCTCCACATTTGTCTAAAGCTTAATTTAGTCCCACATGTGCTTCTGTCAGCACAGAACAGGCCAATGATCCTATATCCAGAGCTAAAATAGAACAGCTTAGATAAATGCTTGGATCCATATATTATTATGGTCCAATAAAGAAACAAAAATTTAATCTAAGTGAACATTTGTGGCAAGTTGATAGTTCAAGAATGGCCAGTTCATGGAGGGTCTCTAATAATTGCTGTTAATGAATGGTGTTGATCCAGTTTGACTAAGCTTGATCCATTTTCTGGATGTTCAAAATTGATAGAGACATGCATCAAAATAATTGCATCTGCTCTTGCAGCGAAAGGCAGCTCTACAAAGTACTGAATACAAATGCAGGTCACTCTTTTCAAAGTTTCATCTGTGAAAAAAAAACACAACAAAAAACCAATCAAGTCCATGTTACTTTATCATCCCATAACACATTTCTGTACTGTTTCCAGAAGTCGATGTTTGTAGGGTGACAAAATTTGAAAGGGCTCAAGAGGTATGAATATAAGACACTACGGCTATAAATAGAAAGAGACCCGTGAATCAAGATGTTAAGGGGTGAAAAAGAGGCAGAGTGATGAAGAGATTTAAAAAAGGCTCTGATAGACGTCGACTCCAGTGATTCAGTCAGTCAACGCCCACAGAACATGCCCATTCTCACGAAAACAACGATTCTGACTCAGCTCACCAAGAGCGCAACATGACATTTCACTGTAAACTCTGGTCCGTCTTAGAACTCCTACACAAACACAACAAACTAATAAAAAAATAAATAAATATTGATCATACTACAAGGAAACTGATATAATGATGTTCTGTGAGAACTTGTTAAATGCTCCTGGCCAGTAGGTTGTCTCGATGGCATTTAAACCCGATTCCTGGGATGAAGCGAACATACTTTATGTCCCCCGAAATCCATTTGAGGGAAATTAGGCCAAAACATAATGACACTTTCTGTGGATACAGAGGGACACACCGAGAAAAAAACAAAACAAATTATAATTACAAAATATTACATATTTTTAGGAACTACTGTGAACAAATAATCAGTGAAAACTGTGATCCCATAATCACATTAGTGATAAAAATCCCTTTACCTTCTCATTATACATCAGCCTCTTTTCTCTCCTCAAGTGTCTTTCAGAACAAGCATCAAAGATGATGGGAAAATAAAGAAGCCATTTCCCCTCTAAGCACGCAGCTCTACAAAATCCTCACCTAACCCGTACCCCCATATAACCTTCCAATACCCAGAGTACAAGAAATGCACACAGTCTATAAATCTGTTCATCCCACTTAGGAACTAGATACTAAAATCTACTTATTTGGTTTCTCCTGTATGGCAAATACTTTAAGATAAGAGCAAACAGAAATGAGGCATCCAAGATGAAAGGTCCTTGATGTCTAGCCGGGGTGGAATGAGTAAGTTCTTTGTGATTCAGAAATAGCGGATCATCTTAAAACATCACTAATTAACCAAGAAGAAAAAATAAATAATCTCATAGAAAATGGGCAGAAGAGAGGGGCTCAATAAATAAACAGAGAAATTTATTGTTTGTATGTAAAGTGATTATACGAGAAGAGCATAGAAATAAACAAGAATTGTGTGGGGTTTTATAGTTCATAGATATTTTTTTCTCTTTAGCATGGGGTCTGGAATGTACTTTTGCAACGTGGGTGAAGAAACCTCAGCATGCCAGATAATCTTATTCAATAAGATTGTAGCATTATTATAACTTTTCTTTAACTCTACAGTGAACTTTAAGACTAAAATAACTCTGCAGTGATCAATTGGAAATAAATTTAAGAATTTGACAGAAGAAAAAAAATCACTTTTTGTCAAATCTTGGGTAAATACCTTAACACTTAAGAGGAAAAGAGAACGTTTTACGACTGACACACATTTCTTCATGTCCAATCTGTCATTAGTCATTATGGAAACTGCTTGGAAAGGGATCAGGAGATTAAAACACCCAAGAATAACCTTCACATAATAAATAAGATAATCTGAGCAAAAATACATTTTTCAAGGCTGTTTGTCGGAAAATCCTCTTTAGCTGAGGTAGGTAGAGGAGGGAATGCTGCATCCTTTCTTATTCTTAAAACGCAGAAGTCTGTTCACTGGTGTATGTAGCACTCAGGCAGCTCCGCAGAGACGCATGCAAATGAACTTAAGTCTCGAGAAGAGCAACAAGGGAGGTGGAAGCCAAACAGCAACTGAGTACTGAGCACAAATATGTGAAAAGTTTAGCTTTGGGAGCATTTTGATATTCAAGTGAATTTAATAACATGCCACTGAGAGAACCGCTTCTCCCTCAGCATCTTCACCTATCCTGGCAATTGTGTTTCTGTAGTGTTTCGAAAAACTGTGACACATCAATTTTAATTAATTAGAATCGCCTAAAAAACAACAGAGAGAGAGGTTAAAGTGCTCTGAATAAAATTTAACCATGTTTACTCCCAACAAACCTAAAATTCTTCCTTCCAACTCTGAACAACACAATTATCTGTGTCTTTGTTTTGTAAGCACAGTCGTGAAGAGTTAGTGAGTCAGGTACGCTCCAGTTAAGCTCGCAAGAACGTCAAGAGGTTACACTTCAGCAATGCGCAGAACAATGGAGCAGAACAGCCTGGAGGTTTTCGTACTACACTCTCTGATGTTCAACTTTTCATGTTCAGCAAGTGTGGTAAAGAAACCTCTCATTGTTTAAATTGATGGCTTTATCACAAGCAATACCAGAGGATCTCAATAAATTAGACTGTTATGGGAAAATAACTTACGTGATTTACATAATTTAATCCAGAACATGAAATTTAGAACACCTATGAAGCCTTTCAAGACATTGTTCATATTTTTTTATGGATATGGCATTAATTATTGGGTCTGTGTGGTGTGGTATGGTGGCAATCAACCTGAGGCTCAGCTGAGGGGAAGCTTTATTAATGACCTTCAGCTGGTCTGCAATGTTGGGTCTGGTGTCTCTTATCCTCCTTTTGCCTAAATCAGGTAATGGCACTTCTGACAGTGTGGGCAGCTGCCAAAAACCCAATGGAATATGAATGAGCATCTCCATGAACCATGCTTGCACAGAAGAAGCATGAAGTGTTTTAAAATTTTCTGGTAGATAATTTTGACTTGATAACATGCAGTGGACCAACATGAGGTGATGACATGGCAACCCAAATCACCATTGACTGTGGAAACTTTACACTGTATCTGAAATTCTGTGCCTCTCCGCTCTTCCTCCAGATGCTGGGAGCTTGATTTCAAAATTAACTTTTATTTGAAAAGACCACTGAACAAAAGTAGCAGTCATGTTTCTCTTTATCCCTGGTGAGATGCTTTCAAAATGGTTTCCAGTTCAGAAATTGCCAAAAACCAGGACTGCAACAGTGGTAGTCCATGTTTGTGTGTGTTTACTCCTAAAGCACTACCTTCAGCTACAATCCATTCCCCTCAAAACATCCCCAAACTCTTGGCTGTGTATCTTTTTTTTAATTTTTTTCATCCTTCCACTCAATTTTCCATTATTGTGTTTGTCTACAGTTCTCTTAGCAGACAGTGTGCAGGGTATCAATGAAAGTTTGCTGGAAAACTGTTGAATTGTCTCCAGTTTTGATGGTGTAGCGCATATCAATTTTGTATTAAGAGTGCCTTTTTTTCCATCTTTTGCACATTTTTATTTTTATAAGGGAGAGATTTTTGGGTTTTTGTAGCTGTAAGCCAAAAGCATCCAAATATTTCAGACATATCACTCTGTGTGTAACAATCCCATTAAAATAACAGTTCCACCGTTTGAACTGAATTACTGAAATGAATTATGAATGAACTTCTTCTTAATTGATATGCACCTGTGCTGCTGGGTGTGCATATAAGACAGATTACTGCAGACACTTCCACACAGAGCATTCACTGTGCAACTACCTAGAAAAAAAAAAAGTATTGTGGCATGAGCAAAACTTACATTGCCTTGGTTGATGAAACCATGCTCCCTGGCGATGCGGTCAGCCTCCCCAGGGCCCCCATTGATCTGGACAGCCCATGTGTTGGTGAAAATCTCGGCAGCATCAATCCACTTCAGCTCGGCTGTCAGAAGGACAAGACCTGTCCACACAATCGGCAGAGCCACCCGGGCATCCATTAAAAGGAGAACTCTTCACAGGGTGGTCTGTGTGTTGGTCTGAAGCTGCTTCCCAGGCAGAGTTGGGCTGCTCTACCTTACAGCAGCAAAGTAGAGCAGTGGCCTAGAGATGAGAGGACAGAGCAGGCTATAAATAAAAACATGGCCTTCCAAACTGGGTCAGTCTTGGGCAGTAATATAATCCTGCAGATAACAATCAGAGTCAAGCAAAGACTAACTGGGGATCACCCACACATCTTATTATTCACCTTAAGAAACTTCCTGTCCACTGTAAGACTATGAGAAAGAAAGACTTTCATAAATATGCAAAATATTAATATTAGATCAGAACAGAAAAGGAATCTGCCGCAACCAAAAATTATTTCTCTATTTTGCTTTATGTTCCAGAGACATGAAATGGTAATGTATGGTAATCATATACAGTAAGCATCCTGCTGCAGTACAGCAGCAGCGCCAAGCAAACTCATACTGCTAATGGCAAAAAAAAAAAAAAAAGACAAAGAACTTCCAGGCGAAAATGTATTTAAATATTCACTCAGACACTGTTCTTCACGTTTGAATATTCAGGAATATTGCTTATTAGGTTTGGTAAGGTCATGTTCAACATTTTCTAACCGAACAGTAAAATAAAATGTCAGATTTAAAAAAAAAGAATCACTATTTGAGCAGAAGTTCCAACAAAAAGATGTTCGGCTTTGACTACTCTGCTGTCATTTGATTTGCTGTTCTCTGAGTCAGATAAAAGAAGTCCTTAAAGAGACTTTGGGGTTAAGTTGGGGAAATTCCTGTAGAAAAAAGAGGTTGTGGATATCTGCAAAACAAATTATGTCAATGTTAAAAAATGAGCGACAGTGCAAAACATTCCTGATGCCATCAAAAAGCATCATTATGCCAGCAAATTGGTCAAGCTGCAGGCCTGCAGCACTTCCACAACACATTGGATAATTAGTTATTTATTTTTCACAAACATGCAGGACTGACCTACACCCACAGTAACTGCTCTCGTCCAGGTGCCTTGTAAATATCCTTGACAGACTGACAGCTACACACTCAGATGAACATCCTGTGCATGAATTTGTTTATTTAAGTACCTCTTGTTAAGTCTGCCTAGGCTGAATGCCTGTAAATATGTGTCTCTCTTACAAGTACAATCTTAATTGCTAATGTAGTAACTCATGGTTAGTTAACTGGCTATCAATATGTCTGAAAGTTTTTTTTTTCTTTTTATTCAAAATAATCATTACATGCCTGAAACCTAGAGTTTGGAAGTAGCTCTTGGCAAGAGTCCTTTCTACAAGGATAAGTTGTTTACTTTCTTCTGCATAGAGCCTAAAAAACACATTTTCCACAGTTGTTTTCCGATTTGTTGACCAGACCATCACAAAAGCCAACCGGATGAGTGGTGCAGTAAGCTGTATTTATTTGAAATAACATGTTTTTGAATGCATAATATGTTTTACTAATTGTTGACTGTTTGTGAGAGCTTCCATTTGATTTCACTCTACATCTCCAATGTGCTCAGCATTTCCAGATGGAAGGGCGGATGCTTCTTTCCTACATTATGAATTCTTGATTTCTGTGAGCAGATGAGGAAAGAAGTGTTTGTCTTTCAGCTCTTGTGAGAGATAAACTTTACCCTCACTCTTAAGTCATCTTGAGCTCATCAGCTGGCTGTGCAGGGAGGAAAATATTGTCTTCCACTATGAAAAAAACAAAACAAAAACAAAAAAATCAGAAAAAAACAATATTTGAGCCGTTTATGCATTTGAGGCATCAAAGGACATGTCATGCAAAACTGCTAGGATGATTCACATCTACAGGGAGAAAAACAACTGTCTCAAATGTACTACTACTAGTATTATTATTACTACTACTTCTACTAGTACTACTACTACTAATAATAATAATAATAATAATAAATGTTATTTAAAAACAATAAATGATTGTAATAAAATATACACCTGTGTGAGTTAAGAAGAATAGGCTAATCTAAAAAAAAAAGAGTTTTCAGATCAGATTAAAGTTGACCAATTCCTAAGAAAGTTGCTATAGCCTTTTTGCAGAGGCAAATATGACCATTCACAAGTTGGCACCAGCTTGTTCAAGCTCAAATACTTCTCCTCAGGGAGAATAAAAAAAAGTTTAACTAATTCATATCTCAGCAGTTTAATTAGACTGAGCTAGTAACTACACAGTCATTTGGGTTTTCCTTGTCTTCCACCATTATGCATCTGTTCGAAAAATCACAGTTTCTTTAGATTGCCTTCTGGCTCCCTGTTTTTTTGCTGACTCTTTGTTATGTACCACGATGCAGAGAAAAGAGCAGGATATGTGTTTTTTTTGGTGGGAGCGTGAAATAAAGTAAACACAAATCAATACGCCAAGTTGTGCTTTTTCTCTCTTTGTTTTGTTTTTTACTTATGTGTATCAAAGGACCTGCAAAAAACACAAAATATTTTATTTAATGTTTCAGACATTTAATGTATATATTATTATCATATATTAAATGGTAATGTATAATAATAATAATATACACCATACCAAGCAAAGAGTTCCAAGCAAATTCATGATACTAATGGCAAAAGGAAGACAAAGGACTTCCAGATAGAAGTGCACCGATGTATCGACACTGAAATTAAACAGTAAATTCATGTAGCACTATCTGATCATTTTAGATGTCAGTACTGCTGGAAGTAGAAAAACAATCGTATACAGTACTCTCCATACTTTTGCCACCCTGGAAATAAAGACCTGTAAAAAGCCTTAAAACAAATTAATTTTTCTGATTGGTCTTTGTTTTACTTATTTAATTTTCTAATTTATTCAATGTTTTCTCTTTGGGTTTATTTCGAATGCAAAGGACACAAAGACTCAAAAGAAAGGGTAATAGAGAAAAAAGAAAAGAATGGAAAAGTTGTGGGGTAAAAAGTAAAAGACAGAGATAGGAACAGAAGAGGAGAAGATGGGTAGAGGGAGAACACAAAAAAACACAAGGAGTCTGGTTGTACACCTTGGAAGGGAAAAATAATGAACCTGAGAAACCGGGGCGACAAACATGTATACACATATGATAATAACAATGTCACTGTAAAGCACACAGTAATAATTAAAACAAGATGTATTAAGTGGCAATTGAGTATTTGAACACCTTAATTTATACCCGAGTGAACATCATTGTCTGTTTCATACAGCTTAACACCCATCTGTCTTTCTCTCGTCTTTCCTGTTTAGTTGAGTGGCAAAGCTCATTATTAATAAGGGAAATAAGAAGTCATAAATGGTAAATGGCTTGTACTTGTGTAGTGCTTTATCAATTCCAGTGGACCGCAAAGTGCTTCACACAACATTCAGTCATTCACCTATTCATGCACACATTCACACGTTCATAGATAAATCCAAAACATTGTAAAAAAAAAAATAATAATAAATAAAATGTCTTGGTTACCTTCTTTTAGCAAGAACTACTGGATAGTTTGAAGAAAGCTATTTTCTAGGGAAGGGTTTTTTCCTCCCCTAGAAAAAAACTTTAAATTTAAAGTTAGGGATTGTCTACATTTTTCATATATAGAAATACATTGGTTGGATTAAGACTGAGTCAAATCCTACAAGTAATGTACACAATCTACGGAAGAATTTTAATTTAGATTTGAGTGAGAAAAATGTTATTACTTTTGAAAAAAGTTGATGAGAATTTATATCAAGCAAACAGTCAGACTTTGCTGGGGATTTCTTATGAGTAGTAATGTGCCTTGGTTCAAGGTTTATCAGGTTTCTTTTGAAACAGCTCCTTTTACTTCAGCATTGTCACAAAATGAACAAAGACATATCACAGTGAGCAGTGATTTATTCATGTTTCATTTTATTATCTGGAACAGCTTTTATTTGTATTTATTTTTGTCAATATTCATTTCAGATATCCATCCATCCATCTATCCATTTGGAGGAAACACATCTTAGCTGCATGTATTCAGGATCTCATTTTTCGGCTCAGTAAATGATCTAGTAAATTTAATATTTTGCCAAATGGCTCAGCTCTTCCTTAACCTTGACATTTTGAGTAGTAAATGTTGGTATGTTGGTATTACTGCACACAAAGCTACAAGCCGCCTATCCATCTCTCACTTCGCCTTAACAAGAACAAGACAATCAAATGTCTCTCCACGAATAAGAGACGGGCCCCCCAACCTGAAGGGAATGGGTCCATCCTTTTCCAGTTAAGAACTGTGGCTTCAGACACAGAGCATTCACATTACTCCCAGTATTGTATACAAGAGGTGTTTCATCCAATGATGCAGCCCAAAAATGTATTTCACTGAGTTCCACCAGACTAGCTGTGGAACCGCACATCTGCTGAGCTTGTCAGACAAACTGCTTCTCGGTCCAATGCTCCAAAGAATGCTGTAGGTGGCTTAATTCAGAAATGCCATTGTGATGACATGCTGAAGATGATGTCTGAAAGAAAATGAGCAAAACAAAGACAGAGACAGAGACCCAATTTCAAACGGTTAATTGCAAAGTCAAACTTCTTTTAAGTCACGTTTGATAGATATACAGCACCTTTACAACAACTGAAAATAACAGAACATAGTGGTATAAAATGGCACTATGTGTACAGAAAATACATAATACTGACCCTTTAACTACCTAAGGGTTCTCTGCCATAGTACTAAACTGCATCCTCCACTGTTGCTTTTAGAAAATGTTGGGCATAGAGGGCATAATTATAAGAATATTGCCTCGCAATAAGGTGAACAATGTCGCTTCATTAAGCTGCCCTTGTTAACTGCTGCAGCTGATCAGTATATATAGGTTCCTTTTAACAATGAATATACCCTCTCCTCCCATTTCCTAAGACAATTATACCACTTTCCGGAGAATATACGGATCCACAGTCTTAAAAGAGGAGTAAGTCACAGACTGCATCTGTGGGTTTACAGACACATTTGGAAGTGGGGGTGTAATTTAAGTGCATCAGGAGAGGTGCTGGAAACATAACTAGAGGCTGTCACTCTTCCTCTGGAGTAATTCTTCTGAGCTCATTAGATGGTGTGTTGGAGCCACGCAAACAGCGGTCTGCTGACACTGAATAGAGGGAGAAACACA